AAAGGACAAATGTGGATGTGTCATGTAAATCAGAAAAAAAAGACTTGAGTTTCTGTGTATGACTATGATGAGTTAGGACAAAGTAGTTTAAGCGCTGTTATTTTAATCCACAGCCAACATATCCTACAACATAATTCAGTGCCTATTTTACTTTTTAATCCTTTTTAATCCTTAAAAAAAAACATTCAATCCTGCAGGGCAATTAACTCAGCTTCTTTTAACTTGAAATACCATCCATTTTTTTATTTGAAAAATGCTCTGAATATATAAATATAAGCAAAGTATGTTAACTTAAAAGAATTCTGACAAAACCATATTTAATTTTTAAATGAGTGGCTGTTCACAGAGTTTATAATACCCGAGCTCCAATAGCTGGTGATCAGAGGCTCAAAATCAGAAAAAATAAATAAGTTCCCTAGTTATCCCAAGTTCCTCATAAGGGAAAAAACTTTTCTATTGAATTTGTGTCACAGCCTACATTTTCACCCAAAGAGCTATCTAGAGTTAGACTTAGGTAATATCCATTTGAGAGCAAGCTGACTTAGAATTGTCAATATTTAACAGTTATTACAGTACGCATAGAGGCTTACAGAAAATGACACTTTATATGCGATTTTTCACACTTTCATATTATAAAATATAATTCATACACAAGTATATCCTCTGAAAATAACTCTGTGAGTCATGACTGTCTACAATGGGTGTAACACCCGAGTCCCACTGTCTGTGATGCTTTCCGAGTTTTCCGAGTCCTATCTTCAGTTTGTTTACATCGTTGGGACAGCCGGCTGACTCCTCCCCTCGCAAATAAAAGTTGTTTAATTGAGGGACTAGAGAAAAGAAGAATAACATACTGTACTCACTGCTTAACTGTGTTTCTAGATCACACTCATTTCAGGTAAATTTACGTTTAGTGTGAAGATACGAGCATAATAAAGATAGCTAGCATTAGCATGCTAACACAACAATGCATTGCAAGTTGTTTTGGTTTCATGCTGGTGCTCAAGGGCGACACCTGCTGGATCAAAAAATCTCATGAAAAGCCTTTAACTCAATTCTGTGTTACAGAGTCATTTTTTGAAGTTTTGAAACAACTAAATGATGCATTCTTTTTTACTCAATGAAGAAGATACATTCAAGCACTGTTCACTGCTTTCACTAACTTCAGTATGGAAAATTTGACAAAAAAAAATAACCCCCAATGTTAAATAATAGATAGAATTTTTGATTTTGCATGCAACGATCATGTATTTTTTTTGTTGGACCACAGTAATGTTATGCACAGTTGGTTATGCTTGTAACATTATGAAACAAAAACTTTCCAAATAATTTACACAGCCATTGCATTCTGCACAGTTTGTTAAGTTTTATTGAATAAACTTCAGTGGCAAATATCAGAGTTTTAAAAACCTTCAAGTCGCTATTCATAAAAGTAATAACAATTTTTTAAGTCAACATTCAGTGACATCACATAATGAAAGCTTTCTTTGCTGCTTGCTGCTATAACTTTATGTACATTTGGGAAAGACTTTTGCATTTGCATTTTGAAATGTATCCATCCAAAGTCACAGAAATATCACTCAACGATTGTGTTTTTTAAATGATTTCGGGTTTAGACTTGCACACCCCTCAGCACTTCTTTTGTTCTCCCACACTTTCCTCAAATCAGCGATCATGTCTGCAGGACCAAACCGACAGCAAAATTATCTTATCTACCTTTCATCTTCCAAATGTTTTCATCTGCATCACATTTTATTTGAGATTAAAGTAGGCCTGTGTCTTTGTGCAGCTCTAATTGCCATAGAGCTTCAGTAATTAAAGGACAATAAAGCCTTAGTAGTAATTAGTTTCTCTTGTTTGGTTGCTAGCCCATCAATTGTGCTTCAATAATACTGATCATTAGCATGCGCCTAGGCAGTGAGGGATGCTGGGAAAGGAGCCCTGCACACACAGCACTCCACATTCCATTCCCATGAAGCCATGGCACCAAGCCATGCGGTTAACCCTGAGTGTGCTGGGCTGCAGAGAGTGGCAGGCTGTGCCTACCAGCGAAGGCCCACACAGTGAAATAAAGAGGTCACACTGTAACATAATAGAGCTGCCGGAATAATGACCAGCTTTTTACAAATTTCAGAAGGGTTGGGAACATAAAAGCTGCAACAGTGGGCAGATGCGGCTGTCATGGTTTGTGTAAAAGCAATTGTACCCTTCTCAGTGTTACATGTTGGTTTATGCACATCCAGGTTCAGCTAATGAAAGCCTGTCTAAGGAGGGATAATATGGATATCACAGTTGTATCACTGTTTTTAATAAAAGAAACACATGAAATTAGTTTCCTTTGAACAGAAGAGCATCAGGAGAGTAATATCTCTCTGTGCAGCCATGGTGCATGGACTGTGCCGTAAACTGTGGCATAGTAATAACGCCAGGCAGCAGAAAATGTGCTCTGTTCTGTACTTTGCCTTGACATGATTGAAAGACAATGGTCCCATGGATAGGCCATTTCAACATCAAATGTGCATGCACATCACAGGGCAAGGGTGTGCTATCCATCACATTCAGTGAGCTGTCAGAGGCAGCTCTCACAGCCGCACGGTTTCTCTGCACACACATTTGCAACTTCATGGCAATACAAGATTAAACCTCCTTGTGCATGTTCCATCCTGAGCAGACTATATTTTACACACTTTTTCAAGTGCTCACAGTTAGAAGTGTGGTTCTCTAGACACTTAAGAGTATGTGGTTACTTTTTGCTTCATTTTTACAGTCTTTTGGCTTTATTTCCACAGTCTTTTGGCTTTATTTCCCCACACTGTTTTTTTTTAACTTTAAAGCAAACTTAAAATGCAAATTGCATTTTATAGAAAAAAGTAAAATAAAAACTTAAATATATAAGGCTGATAGTATTTTACAAAGTTTTTTCCTAAGCTTCAAGGAGGGACATATTATGGCATTTAACTTTATTGGTCGTATATTATAAAAGTGGCAAAAGTTCCAAATAAAGAGGTAAACGTTATTAAAAGTGAATACTCAAGAGGGTATCCATGTGAATTTTGCTCACTGCTTTGGTTGTATAGTGTGAAAGATTTTGTGAAACCAGCTAATAAACGGCATCTAAAACATTAGTTTTCAATCTATTTATTTTTTTAGCATGTAAAATAAAAAAATAAAAACATTTTTAAGGTGGCACTACAGAGACCCTACAACCTTCTCCTATCCGCCTTGGCACAATAACCCAAATGGAAGCCTTTATGAAGCGCTGATGGAAAGAGAGCGCACTGTATAATGCACAGCCGTGCACACTACTACATTTCCAGCTAATCAGAAGCGCGCAGTTGCAGAAAGGAGAGCGGTTGCCAAGGCAGCCACCAATCTCCCCTCCCCCTTCTCCCTCCGTTCCTCTTTCCCGTTTATTATCGGCAGAGGTCGCATGGCAGAGGGAAGTCCAACCACTTCTGTACTGGAACCAATGCAAGAATATGCACCTCCATAACAAAGCCTGTAAGGAGTGCTGAGAACGGTGGGGAAACACAGGCTGCACATTTATGGGCAGTTATTCAACCGGTAAATAGACTTTAGATAGAGGATGTAAGTTGGAGGTTTGCTTTTATTTGTTCCGGAACAACGGGATAGTTTTGAGAACACGCGTGTCTCCATGAAATTTGTCCTCTCCGTTTAGAGTAAGTGTTTGGCATCCGAAGGAGGACTGCGCATCATCAGAGTTGGTGCCGAAGTTCGGACGCAAACGGATGTGAGGGAAGAGAGCACCGAGTCAAACTCCACCACTTGTTTTTTTTTTACTCTCTCCAGCTTCGGCGTGTATTGTGTTTGCTGAGACAATAGTGAGTCAAAGACGCTGAAACTGATTTCATGCCTTCAGTCTCGCACAACCTGAGATGGACGTGAGATTTTATCCTGCGCCCCCGGCTAATGTGGGTTCATGCTCTCTACCGACCGACCCAAGTTGCCTGAGCTCGTTGGACTATTACCACTCGAACAAGGTAAAAAAATAAAAATAAAAAGAAGTGTGTCCTCGTACACTGAAATGCTTTATGGCTCACCTGTCTCTATTAGAGCCTGCAACGTTTACGCAAAGCTTTGGATGTTTTTATCCACGCGCGCTCTCTTGCCCCAAACACACAGCTGCACTGTCCAAAAGAAAAAATGTCAAGTGTCAGCAAGTAAAGTGACCTGAGCTGCTTTTAATTTAGTCTGGAACAGGACGCAGAATTTGTATTCACTGTAAGCTTAAACCTGCAATCTTTCTATTTTCATGTTAAATGAAAACGTTTAGTCCAACTTTTTTTTCTCCTCTAACCAACATGCTTATTATGTTATTTCCCCGGTGAGCCTGTGCAGTTGTGTTTTGCACAAAGCTGGCATTAAGAGTCCCACCCGATGTGGAATACCAGGGGCTGTATAGAATCCATACTGCCCCACTCTGCTCTCTGCTCCAACATTATCCTCCCTCTCAATGATTTCTCATACCCTATGCTTTTCCGCTGGGAGTTCAGCGATTAAATGGATGTGTGCCAGTAATGTACTGTTAATTACTTTGTAAGGAGAACCACAAAGTCTGCGTGGTACAACTGATCACTCTTTTCTCTCAGTTGTGACATCCTGGAGCTTTTTGGCTTGTGACCTGATCTGACTCTATTGCAAGTGTGCAGGTGGCATTTAAAACAACAATATGAATAAATTGAAGTTTGACATTTTCCTCGAAATAACTTTCATCTACTGAAAAACATGCCATGTTTGGTAATCCTGTTATAAAAAGGGACTGGGAAACACACAAATCTCAAGATGTATTATATTGAAAACCTGCCACGGATTAAATACCCTCAAAGTAAGATAAAATCACAGCAAAATTACTGAGTGACAAAAACACAAAAGGTATACTATAAAACATTCGTAGAAACAACATTAAACAGATATTAAGCAGGTTCTACCAGCACTTCAGCCATCTGTGATGACAGAATCAGACTGTTGTGTTCACTTACCATGCTTGTGGTGTCACAAATCAACAGGCTCTGTATGTTGACCTGCTGTAGATGAAGATGTTTTGAGATAAAGACAGGTTGGAGTTTAATGCTTCTCTATCATATCATTTTGGCAATGGTTTGACAATGAGGGGAATTATGTTTGTGGGACGATTCTCTTTCGATGTGTGGGCAATGGAAAATCTCTGTAACACAGCGGAACATTCCAGTGATAAAACAGAAAACATATCTCACAGTTTGAAAAATAAAATGCTATGGTAACAAAACATTTTGCTCAGGTGAAAGTGTGTTCAAGTAGGAAAGACAGAATATCCAATTTATTTGGATCACAGATGGAATAAGGTCTACATAAAACATTTAATGATGAGGCCTGTTTACACCTGTGACACTCAAATGGGCTCATATAACCAGCTCCTCCGCAAAGGCTACCTTTTTATAGGTCAAAGGAATTAGGATCATCCTCCAATGCAGATAATCCCAAGAATATGCTGATATCCACACAGTGCATGAATCCTACAAACAAAGCCACCAGATTTGAAAGAAAAACAGTGCTTTCATAAAAGAGATTTTTTATTTACAATTTTGCTCTCATCACGTGAGTTATACTAACAACCTTAAGTGGCAATGCTAATGAAAGCCTGGAGCAGCAGGGATCATTGGGTGTCCTGTTAACACGGCGCATCAGGTTCAATTCCCCTCCTGAAACTTTGTCACACTGGCTGTTAAATAGACATCTGATTTGTTATGTGGGCGCTGTATCTACGGATCACATCTGCCTGTTTATAATCACACCTGGCACACCGGTTGGTATATTTCTAATTTGGCCCAGCAGTTTTTTTGGTGTATTCATTTGCTCTTGATCAGCTTGAGAACTTATTTTGGGAAATAATTAATCAAAAACGGACTAAATGGTGGAAACTTACCACCATTACATACAGGGCCGTGGCTTAGTTGGTAGAGTCGGTTGTCTCTCAACAGAAGGTCCAGGTTTGATCCCCAGCTGCATGCAGATGTGCGAGACACTAACCCCATGTTGCGCCTCCTGACGGCGGTGTGTGAATGGGATTAGTTACTTTTAATGGTCTCTTTACATAGCAATCTCTGCCATCACTGTGTGAATGAGTTGGTGGGATCTGAGTAGTCAGAAGACTAGAAAATCAATATTAATATCAATATATCTTTTTTCAAATAAGTCTAAGCCTCGGTAAACATCTTATCTCTGCTAAGTTTACAGTGTTAATTTGAGTTACACACAAGCGTAATTGGATATAATGAGCATGTGCTAGTGCTTTAGCTTCACAGTCTGTTTATTTGCAAACTTGTCTTGTGTGAACCGACTCACTGTGGATGCTGTCTGTGGACACAAGCCTAGTTGAAGTAATTAGCAACTTTATGTGACTTCTTGCAGGGAACATGGGCTGCTTTGATGCTTGCAGTCTTTGTTACGCTGCTCATTTGGAGCGACAGCTTGTTTTCTTCATTGTGCATGCATGCAACTCGATGTCTAACTTTTGTTTTACCATATTCTTTTTGCAGCTCATTCATGTGATCACAAGTTTATGCATGGATTTTATAAGTCACTTGAATGTTTTAAAAGGTGAAACTGTGAGTCTTTTCAAGTAATTGTGGACAATATTTGTCATGGGTTGCTTCTTAAAGCTAAATCTCTCTGCCAGCAACATTTCTTCATGCTAAGACTGAATTTACTGCAAATTTCAGTGCTGCAAAACGGAAAAAAGATGAATGTAAAGAAAGAGATGCATAAAATGAGCAGAGAAGGTACTTCAAGTACAGACTGAGAGGATTCAGACAGATCCATAAATAACCCTGAAGATGTCTACTTCAATACTTTCAATACTCACTTTATTTCGCTGCGAGTGTATGGCTCTTTTATTACTGTGGTGCTCTCAGCCAAAGAGAAATTAAACTGAACAATACTGTTAAAGCAGCTTTGTGCTCTCATGGTAATATTAAACTGTTCTTTGTTTTAATGCTTTCTGCTGCAGGCTGTATGGTACATAGTTAACCTAACCTATCTTTACTGTGCAAGTAGTTTCAGTTTATTTTTTGCAAAGCATTGAAAGTATAATATATGCATATTTTCTTATAGCACATGTTCAGCTGTAATTGCACTGTGGCCACTTGTTTTTCAGGGCCTTTCAGTTTGCTTTGTGAAATGGGAACAGAGTGTCTGCTTCTTTATTTGAATGCCTTAATCAAACAGAGCCGACTGCTGCTGCTGCTGCTGCTTCTAATGCTGAGCTGAGCTGCTGCCTACAGTACAGCACTTAGCATGGAGTAGAGAGCGAGCAGGCCCTGTGTTTATACATCCAGGCCCCACCCAGCTCATATATCCTCCCAACAACTGATATCTGCTTAGATAGGGCATGACTGAAGAGCGCGCTTTGTTAGCTGGTGGTCTCCTCTGCTTTAGATAAGCTTAGGTAGTGATGCACTCCATTTGAATGGCTTATCTCAGTTTTATTTCATATAACAGAGCAGCTCTGATACTCTGCAAAGGTTTGATTACATTGCATTAACATATTCAGACAGTTTCAATCAAGTGACACAAGCTATTGAAGCAACACAGATATGTATATCATATATTTATGTCAGTTTGGCTCCATGTTCAAGGATTGTTTTTTTAAGACTTTGAGTGCTTTAACATGGCTGATAAATTAAGCAGTCCCTGTAAAGCAGACTATAGTGTATTTTCACATTAAGTGGAGTTGTCCTATTAGCTAATGACAAAGTCTACTATGTGAGAGAGGCAGAAAGGGAAAAACAAGGGATGACTGAGAGTCAAATGGGTTGAAGTAATCAGTGTGTGTGTGTGTGTGTGTGTGTGTGTGTGTGTGTGTGTGTGTGTGTGTGTGTGTGTGTGTGTGTGTGTGTGTGTGTGTGTGTATGTGTGTGTGTGTGTGTGTGTGTGTGTGTGTGTGTGTTCTCATGCTAACTCTGGGCCATTCAAGCGTTTTGCTGACTACAGAATCACAATCACAATTGCTTTCATAGCCCTGTGCAGAGGAAGGCCATGCATACCACAGTAAGGGCCAGTGACACACCGTGAGCAAAAGCAAAAACAGCCTCGAAATCAGATTCTGCCTGCCCCTACACACCCAGGATATTTTTAATGGGGATTCCAACCATTGGAAATCATTTCAATAAAACTGGAATTGGGTCCGACATTGGCTGAGTCACAGATGCTGCATATGGCACAAAGAGTTCTTGCCTTGTAATTTTTTTTATGACTTAAGAGACTGTGTGAACAGTCCTTTCCACACAAACCACAAGGTGTTGATTTGTGATTTGTGTTTGTTTGTTGTGTATATTCATGTTTTGTTTGTTTTTAGATTATTTCTGAGCTAGGCCGAGATAAAAAAAAAGAAAAAAAAAGAAAGGAAGTGAGGCTAATACTTTCACCATTTTAATTTCCATGTCTCTCCTTTTGCCTTTCAATGCAAATATGTGCTTGATGTAGGTTAGGAAAAGACATTATGAAAGTGTGTGGCACATGTGGTGGTGGGGGAAACCCATGTGCTAATTATTGTCCCAGGCAGTGCTGCTAAGCTACTTTCTCGTTGGTGGGCCCCCCTCAGCGTCTGTTACCATAATTAAGACCACTCGCCCCACTTAAGCATGCTTACATTAGTCGGCGTGGGCCTTCCCATGGGGCAGTGTGATGGCATTTTCATTCTTACCATAGACGAAGAAGAAAGAAAAAGAAACAGTGCTAGCACCTGCTCCAGAGTAACCCTTTTATGTTTTGTATGTTAATCACTACAAACACCAAATTGGACGTGTAGTGTTAAATGGCCATGTATGTGCAGTACATTGTACACTAAGTGCTGAAATAATAGAAATAACAAGAACATTAAATTATATTTGAGTTGAGATTTTTTCCCTTTGTTTTCTGTAAAAATACATGGAATAACATTTGAGAATGATAGTTGGGAAAAGGTTCTTTAATTATCACCCTCTTTTTGATGAGAATTTATTTCACAATTTCTTGATATACATGATATAAAGTATGTGGTCATGTAGAGTTTTTACAGTATATGTACTAATGTATCAATGTATCATGGTACTGTACATACTGTATGTATGTACATATGTATGCATATATGTATGTATGTTGTATGTATGTATGTATGTGTGTGTGTGTGTGTATGTATGTATATGTATGTATGTGTGTATGTATGTATGTATGTATGTATGTATGTATGTATGTATATGTAGGTATGTATGTTGCCTGTATGTGTGTGTATGTATGCATATGTATGTTGTATGTATGTAAGTATGTATGTGTGTATGTATGTATATGTATGTATGTATGCATGTACAGCATGTATGTAAGTAAATATGTATGTGTACATGTATGTATGTATGTATGTGTACATGTATGTATGTATGTATGTATGTATGTATGTATGTAATGTACAGTATGTATGTATGTAAGTAAATATGTATGTGTACATGTATGTATGTATGTATGTATGTATGTGTACATGTATGTATGTATGTATGTATGTAATGTACAGTATGTATGTATGTATGTATGTATGTAAGTATGTATGTATGTATGTGTACATGTATGTATGTATGTATGTGTACAGTATGTATGTATGTATGCATGTATGTTGTATGTATGTATGTATGTATGTATGTTGTATGTATGTATGTATGTATGTATGTATGTTGAATGTATGTATGTATGTATGTATGTTGTATGTATGCATGTATGTTGTTTGTATGTATGTATGCATGTATGTTGTATGTATGTATGTATGTATGTATGTATGTTGAATGTATGTATGTATGTATGTTGTATGTATGTATATATGTATGCATGTATGTATGTATGTTGTATGTATGTTGTATGTATGTATGTTGTATGTATGTATGTGTGTATGTATGTATGTTGTATGTATGTATGTATGTTGTATGTATGTATGTATGTCGTATGTATGTATGTTGTATGTATGTATGTATGTATGTATGTATGTATGCATGTATGTATGTTGTATGTTGTATGTTGTATGTATGTGTGTATGTATGTATGTATGTATGTATGTGTGTATGTATGTATGTATGTATGTATGTCGTATGTATGTATGTATGTATGGAAGAGCCTTAAAGCTGGATAAACTTTCCTAGTTGTCTCAGCTTCCTGTGGTATGTCCAGTGCAAACATATGGACCAGGGTATAAGCTCCATTCCTTCTCTTGTTTTCCCTGAATAGCCTTTAATAATATTATCTGCTGCACTGCAGCCTGAGAGTACCCATAGGAAAGCTCACTTAATTATAAAAAAAAAACCTTTATTGAGCAGAAACTGTAAAGGAATATGATCTCAAAGCTTCCATTGGGAATAGTCTGAATATTGTTTGACAGACTATGCTTAATTTGTGTATATCAGAAAACT